TTTTTTTGCAAACGGTAATACATATAGCGAGTTTCTGCCGTGCGCTGTGATTAACAATACTTGTATGGAATGTTCGGTTCTTTACCAACATCAAACCAAGCAAATATTTTTGAAAATTATTTACCTGTTCGCGAACCATTTCGTCCCAACCGTTTCCCCCTTGCCAAACTAGACCCTATGTGCAGAGAATTTTTGAAGTGAAATATTCATATTATATTTATTATTTTTTCTTACCACTTGATGTGACATTATGGGGAGATTGCAAACGAAGCATATTGACGTCATTTGCCTGTGAATGTTATTAGATCATATTTATTTATAAAATTATAAAAATTAATTTTAAGCATGAAAAATTGAAAATATTTCGTGTATAAAATAGTATAAATAAGTAACTAATTTGAGTATTGAATGAAACGAAAAATACTTATAAAAAGGATGAATATATTTTTAAAATGTCGATTGAAAATCAAGTTTTTCAATGCTCTTGGATTTTTGTTGCTGGAACATTTAATTCAGAATGGAATTAGATTTTGCATGCAGATATTTAGATAACTTGATAAGTACACAAATCGTATTAGAATTAAAACCGTATACCGGAGAATGAAAACACAAAAAAACATTCAGTATCAAATTTCATTGATTAAAAAACTTTCTTTGATTTCGTAAAACTTTCTTTGATTCATGAATTTATTTGAAATCAGATTTTTTCCAAGTTAAAGAATTAAAGCAACATCCAATTTCTCCTGAAGATCTAAGACATAAATTCCTCGCATAATCCAGTATAATAAATACGGTATAAAGCAGTTAATTGTTTGACATGAGAAAAAGGATAAAAAATAGTTTCTTATGTGTTTATAAGTACGATGTGAATGTATTTGTTCATTTGCAAATACACCATTGTCATACAATAACACATTAACCCTCCTAGGTATAGTAACGGTCTATTAGACCGAAAACTTAGAAAAAATATCATAATATCGGAACGCGTCGACCGATTGCCATCAATTTTTTGCCTTTATGCGAGAATAATGAATAAATATTGAAAATAAAATTTAAAATCCTGCCACTGATCTGTAAAAAAAAATATCCCAGAACGACGATAATCCTAACTTGATCGTATAGTTACGGTCTATTAGACCGTCCATACAAAATACAGGGAAAAACATACAAAAACTTAAATTTTTGTATTTTTCTTTTTTTAAAACACTGAAAGAAGTTTGAATGTTAAAAAAAGGAAGGATTTTAAGAAAATTATCAATTTGAATCATCAAAATAATATTCATAGTAGCGTTTTTTTCGTTGAAAAAAAAAATACTTCGTTGAAAAAAATACTTTCTCATGTAAACAAGTATTGAAATACTGAATGGAAATTGGCAAAACTTCCGATCGATTTTTCTCGCGTTTCCGATGAGACTTCTCAACTTCTAGATCACTTTGTACCAGGTTTGAGTCCACCTAGTCCACAGGATTCGATTCTGGCAACAACATCTATTACTGTAGGAATCACCGATCGATTTTTCTAATTCTCTTCAAAATATCACCTAAAATTAAGTGAAGAGGATGCAGGGATGAGAATTATCAACTTCCAGAACACATTGGACCAAGTCGGATATTCCTATTCCATAGGATACACTTCCAGATCAATTCATCTCACATGATATTGATTTTTTCAGCTCTTACTGCGACAATGAGATTTCTTAATCTGGAAGTGCATCCTGTGGAATAGTTAGATCCGACCTGGTCCAATGTGTTCGGGAAGTTCAAAATTCTCATCCCTACATCATCTCTTCTTCATTTCAAGTGATATTCTACAGTAAATAGCTTTTATAAGCGAGAATAAGAAAAATCGATCGGTGATTCGTACAGTAATAGATGTTGTAGCTAGAAGGGAATCTTGTGGATTAGGTGGACCCAAACCTGGTCCAAAGTGTTCTAGAAGTCGAGCACACCGGGGATAACATGGCTGGAATTTTTTTTTTTTTTTTTTTTGATTTTCCCATCGGAAACGCGAGAAAAATCGATCGGAAGTTTTTCCATTTAAATTCAGTATTTCAATACTTGTTTACATGAGAAAGTATTTTTTTTAACAAAATATTTTTTTTCAACAAAAAAAAAACGTTTTCATGTAAATGATTACGATGATTCAAATTGATAATTTTCTTAAGATCTTTCCTATTTTTAACTTTTAACCTTCTTTCAGTGTTTTCAAAAAAGAAAAATACAAAAATTTGAAAAAAAGTGTGACTTTGTTTTGTCTTTTTTATGGTTTTCCTGTATTTTGTATGGACGGTCTAATAGACCGTTACTATCCTATATTGTTTTTATTTCGAACTATACCTAGGAGGGTTAAGTCATCTGCATTCAGCTGTATTGGCTATTGACGTTCGGAAAACTCAGACCTATATATAGATGCAATATGCAGTTTTTCTGACTGCATACACAATTGGAATGGCACCACATGAGTTATAATCTTAAAACTTATGAGATCAAAAAATATATTCATTTCAAAATTATTTCGATAAGATGAAGCCCTGACATGTGGAATTGTTCAAATTATTATTCTCTGCGAGCATGAGAGAAAAATGATGATAGAATAATCGGCATATGCACAAAACACTCAGAAAATAAATCAACTAATTTGGAAACTAATGTGGAAACTATGGAAAAAGCAATGATTATTTACAAAATATACAATGGTTTTTTTTAATGAAGAGAGAACATCTATTTAACTTTAACATTATCAATGGAATTGACATCGAAATCAGATTATCACGTAACACAAAACAAGACATGCATATCACCATTGGATTACCAACGAAAAAAATGATTGATTATACCCAGGGGGGTCGCCCAATTCTGAGGGCGGGGGTCAAAATAATATAAAAATGAACGCTTGCCCTCCGAACTGGGTTATTCAGGGTGGCCAAAACTATGTGCCAATGGAAACTACATTGGTATGCGCAACTTTCATGGGAAAAAACATGTATGCCCATTTGAGTCATAAGGGGTGAATATCCCATTGTGAAGTTACAATGAAATGGGGAAATTTCACTTTTGGACCCTAATTGAAGGTACAAGCTAGAAAGAGTAAATTGTAGGTCAAGAGAGATTGACAATGTATGGAGCCGAATATGTAATTAATTTTAAGGTTAAATGGGGTATGGACCCAATTTTGGGGTATTTTTCGAAATTTTCGTAAATTTTGTAGGGGGATCCCTCTTTGGGGTAATGGGAGGGGATGGGCAATGGCCTGAATGAAATGTGCGGATAAAATTACTTATAGTTGGCAATAAATGACTTTACATCATTTTACCCTAATTGGAGGGGCTCTGAATTGTTGGGAGACTTGGGATGAAAGAACTCGAGACGAATATCATTTCTAGGGTATTTTGGTATGCTGATTGCGAATTTCGAATTTTCTAGTGAAAAAAAATCAATGGGTTATGAAAGACCTTCCTGAAGGGGGGAGGAACTTGGAGGGCAGAGGTCCAAAAAAATTTCTCTCATTATTCTGAACAACTTTGTAGTACATAGCCCAGCTCAATCGGTGAGTGACACCATGGAAGCAATACTTGTAAGCGTTTTTTCTTAAAATTTTCTTCTGTTTCATATATTTCTGGTGATGCACTATGCAATTTTATACACTGGACAAAAAGTAATTTCGTAAAAAATTGATTGTTTTTAAGCTCTTGCTTTAACTGAGCGAAAACTATGAGTGTGCTCTATAAAAATCTTCAAAGATATCTAATATATCGCTGCTTTAAAGATGAAAATTCTTAGGTTGAAGACTGGTCAAACATCCTATTTAAAAATTTGAAATAATCGTCGCAAAATAAAGGGGCGAAACAAAAGCGACTATAAGATAAATAAGGAACGTAAATGTATTTTACATTTTTATAAGGCTGTACTCAAAATATGATCCAAAATTTGGGTTTTACGTGATTTTAGTTTAACAGATTGAATATATATAATATAAATGGAAGAGGTTAAGTGGACCTTGTATCTTGTATAAAATATCTTTTGAAAAATGGGTTACGGTCTCTGTGTCAAAAATTCCTTCAAAATTCACTTTTTTCAGGTTTGTGGACAGAAATTCCAGAATTTCCTCAGTGGAAGAGAAAGTACCCTCAAAATGACAGAACTTCATCGACTAATATGCTTTATATTCCAATATGTATTCAAAATTTATTAAAAAAAGGCTCAATAGTTTTTCGCCAATCCAATATTTTTTATTATTAACCATTATGCGTACAAACGCAGTCCATTGGAACGGAAAAATACAAGATTTTATTCATTTCAGGCGGTCCATGGTTTTCGTTTTTTATTTTATAACTTACAGTACGTTTTTTTATATAGAGTCATCGATTTTTTAGACAAAAACACACTAGTTTTGCAAAATTATTTTATATAGGGGAGAGTCACGTAGGTTGAGACGGCACGTAGGTTGAGACAGTCAGATATTTTCACATATGGCAACTGGCAGCACTGTCGTTTATACTGTCAAGTTGTGGTATTTTTAGTAGCTTACTTTTCATGGCAGGAAGACTCATTAACTCGCGTTCCTTGTGTTTGAGTCAGAGCTCGTCCAAACATCTTTGTAAAAAATCATTTCGAGAATTTTTCATACGTGTAAAAAGTGTAATTTTTGCAACAACAGAAAAAGATGAATATAACATTTACACTACAGTTTTTGCTCTATTTTAATATTCCAAAAGAATTTCGAGCATATCCCACATAGTAAATAAAATATAATATCATGTAAAAATGGTAGCGATTCACGTAGGTTGAGACACTTTGAATCACGTAGGTTGAGACACTATGCGACGCAATGTTTTTTGCAGAAAACTTATGGAATGTTCTAGAAATTTCAAGAAATTTCGCATGGAATGTTCTAGAAACTCATGGAATATTCATGCTGCTACAGGCATTTTCCCAGTCAATCAAAATGCCTTCTCTGATTCAGATTTTGTTCAGGTCGACCAAAGTGATCAACGTCAAATGACTTCTTCTTTTGAGCGGTCCTTGACAGAAGACGATCAACGGCGAATTTGTGTTGTGACTGGCCAAACAGGAGTGGGTGCACACGAAGAAGTGTCGAATTCAGAGCCATCAACATCGACCACAATACCAAAAAAAAAATCGCGTTCGAAAAGTATGGCTTCAGTTTTGTCAGAAATTGGACCCGTTCGGCCAGCTACGCCGCAGAAAAAATCCGCTCGCGGGCGTAAGCCATTAACGAGCAGAGTTCTCACATCACCAGAATCAGTTGCCCACCTCAAAGATAAACGG